CTCTCTCTCTCTCTCTCTCTCTCTCTCTCTCCCTTGCCCCCCCCCTCCCTCCCCCCCCTCTGCTGTTTGCTTTCTGAATTTCAATTGCCTTGTGTCTTGCACAGTGGAATTGATCTGACAAGATGGAAAGAAATCCTCCAAGAGAAAGGGGAGCCAGCTGACATGGCAAAGTTCACAGAGCACTTGCGTGCTGGATACCTATCTCCGAATAGAGTAATGGTGGATTGCACAGCAAGTGCCTTTGTTGCAGAGCACTACGATGACTGGTTGCAGAAGGGCATCCACATTGTGACTCCCAACAAGAAAGCCAATTCTGGCCCTTTACAGCAGGTATGCTCAGTGCTCCATTCCTTCTCCAAGTATAGTTTGCAAGGTCCACTTGTGAGGGGTCATCCTCCTCCGACTTGAAGTACAGTGGTCAAGTTTTGTTTTTGGTAGTCTGTGGTTAACACTGCTTGTTGATTGGGAGCCACTTCATATCCCTTGGATTCTCAGTCCATGATGAGAGCTTCCCTAGGGGGATGGGGAAGCTTTTGAAAGCGGTGGGCAGCTATCTCCTGGATTCTGAGTAGTTGAGGGGAACTTCCCTACCGTCTTCACCCAAATAGTATGCCCTGTCATTATAGCGCTATTTGGGGCAATTTTCAGTCTAGATACAGCGATGGTGACCGGGTGTTCTGTTCAGGTAGACGGTAGGGGTATCGTGGAGCTTTTGGAAGTTTTGGGGATACGTTGCGGGCTATCAGGTCAGGGTTTGCAGGCTTAGGGGGAAAGTGACTTCAGGCAGGGATTGCATGCGGAGGGAGATACAATTCAGGTTGTGCTCAAAGTGGGGTCTTGAATCATCTGTGATGAAAGCAACACTCAGAAGTGTCCTTCTGTTAGTCTGAAGTGCATCCATCAGTGAATGCTGATCTCACAATCAAAGGTTTCATGTCATGAGTATAACATGACATAATATAATGTTGTGGTTATCCCCCCATTTGAAAGAAGGACGTGTTGTTGTGTGCTCGAGTCTACTGTGCAATGCTTATGGTTCATCACTACACAGTATTTTGAGAAAAAACATCGACGACTGTTGTGTTGTTTCTTGTGGTCTGGAGTATGCCGAAGTATGCATAGTAGCATACATCCATGCATTAAAATGAATTCTGTGATTGAAGATGAACCACAGACCGATTTGTAGTGCAGCACATACAGATGGAGAAGCTATGTGAATAGCCAAAGACTTGAAGCAGTGGCCATTCAGGCAGCACTAAGTAGTGAAAAAGAGAAGAGTGCCCTTGTGTGATTGAAATGAGAAAGAAGAGGAGGAGGATAAAAAACATGATAGTGATAATGATGAGCCTACCAAATGGCAGATTGTTTTCCTGGTCAGGTAACACCCTTACCTAGCAAATAGCTACAAATGTTGATGGAGAGTTTATCGCTGCCCGCAGTAAGGCAATGAGCGGGGAAAGAAATGAGTGGGGAAAGACGTGCTATTTTAGCAGTGAGGTCATCACAAAGCCAGGAAATCTGCGTAAACTGCTAAGTGTGCCTTACCCGCTGAACGGTTTGCATCGAATACCTTTGACGTCCCGGCACCTGTTGTCCAAAGCCAACACTCGTGCTCGCCCAAGCAAATGTCCACCTCGCTGCTTCTCCCCGGTCTGTCCTGAACATGATGTCAAAGGGTAGATTGTTCTTGACTAGAAGGGTTGGGGAATGCGGCACCTGTTCTACCTTCTCTCCTCCGTCTTACTGGAAGTATGCCTTGATCCCCTCAACATACTGATTTACAATCATCTGCTACCTTCTCCCCTCCCTCTAACTGGAATTATGTCTTGATCCCCTCAACATACTCATTTACAATCATCTGCCCGTCGTCTGTCAGTGTTGACACTACCGGCTGCTCAAATTTTTGCACTTTATTCCTAGATGCAGTTTCCTTATCCCTTTCCTCAAAATATAACTCCTAGTCGACCCGCTGCCTATCAATGCACTTAGTCTGACTCTATTCACTTCTAATCTGCCAAGATTGGTTGCCCTCGGTTCCCTTTCTTCATTGCAACTCAGCGTTGGTCACGGGTGATCAGTTCCTTGCCTATGCCTGCAAGGGATCCACCTAGAGAGACCCTAGAACAAGTAGTTTCCGAGCAACTACCTAGGTGGGGACCTACATCAGCTTCTGCCACAATGGACTGTGAGCAGGAGGTTTTCTTCTGGGTGCATGCCTTTGCCTGTCTATCTAATCTCAGTCCTAGTAGAAGCAGTTCCTACTTCTACAGCCATCCCTTTTTACTGACTACTGCAATTCTGGACAAAAGGGGATGATGTGACCGGTGCCCCCCCACTTTAAGCATCTTCCCTCATCTCTCCTCTTTCTCCATTGTGCCTAAGACATCTTCATTGCTTTCCAGGGCCTGCTTTGGCCTCCTTGAGGGGAGCTACAACCTTCTCCGCTCTATTGGATGGAGTGCAGGGCCATAGCCACCTCTATCCCCAGTCCGCCCTCCACGGTCTCGACCTCCTCCTCGCCCCCCCCCCTATAGGCTACTACGGCGGCATAATGCCCTCCCTGGAGTATTTGGTCATTCTCCTCCTCGCCATAATATATCTGCTCATATTGGAGTTCCTCTACCCCTTCTTCCTCAAAGGTAACTAACAGCCTGTCTTTCCCCTCAATGTTAACCGAGATTGTTCTCACTTGAAACTTCTTTCCAAAAAATAAGCTGAAATCCCCTCCCTCCACTACTTGAGTCATTCTCATCCTCATGGTAATCTATGTGCTAAATCCCCTCCCTCCACTACTTGGTCATTCTCATCCTCACCGGAATCTATGTGCTCATAGAGGAGTTCCTCTACCCCTTCTTCCTCAAATGTAACTAACAGCCTCTTTTCCCTAAACGTTTAACTGAGATCGTTCTCGATTGGAATTTCTTTAACCAAAATAAGCCCGGTTGTAGCCCACAGCAAAAAGAGCATCCTTGCACGGTCCTCGAACATGTAGTGGATCGCGGGAGCCATAAAACACGCTATCCGCAAAAACAGCAGAACTCTGCAAACATAAGGCTAAGAAATCTATGATGTGGAGCAAGCTCCATGCTAAGTACATGCGATGCAGCCTCAGCTACGTAATGTTATAAAGGAAAAGCAAATGGCTGATATACAAATCCTAAGTATCAGCAAGAAATTAAATGAAGTATAACAATCCTAAAGTCTTGAAGGCCAACGACTTCCGTCTTTGAAACCAAAACAGCAATAAATCAGAAAATGAAGTCATGCTGCTGAACCGATGGCAGTGGGATGGGGTGAGCGGAGGTGAACGCAGCCTAAGAACCGAGACTCCTAGGGGGAGTCACATAGAAAAGTGGGCTGCGTCATGAGGCTCGGGATGGGAGGGGGGGGGAATGAAACAAAACGAATGACCCTAACAAAAAAAACATCAAGGCGGGTAATCCTCAACACAAGGGTACACTGACCATGAAAAGGGAGTTTGAAATAGGATGATATGTCTGACTAAAGGCATGGCTGGTACTAAGGGGGATGAACGCAGTGGGTGAGGGGATCATGCACACAACTCACTGACTACAAGGGGGTTACAAATGCGGAGAAGGAAAGGATGATATGCCTAACTAAAGGCATGGCCATTAAGGAGAGTGAATGCAGTGGTTGAGGCGATCATGCGCGCAACTCGCCGACTGGGAGGGGGATAGAACTGCAGAGAAGGGAAGCGAGGATAACGCTTATGGACCCAATGCCTACACGAGAGAACCGTCATACGACACAGAAGGGAATATACATGACAAGATGGTGGCGTGAGATGACGAAGTAGTTGGAGTCGTTGAAGTAGTTGATGGTGTTGATAAACTAGGATATTGTTGTGGAGGTGAGGAAGTGTCCGTTTGCTGTTCAAGAACGCCCTGAGAGGGAGCAGGTACATTCATAGTAATATCATGAGTCGGGGAGAAGGAATAGGGTCAGTCGGTTGAGCAAGAGCAACATCTCATGTCGATGAGCACGATCATAGGCATGCATAAAAATTATAGTGTGCTCCAGAGGCTCCCATGTAACCTCCTTATCAAGATAGCCCTTCCAACGCACAAGGTACTCATTGCATGGAGGGTTATTGTCGATAACTCGGTGAGATATGATGTCAGAAACTACAAACTCCTCGTCACCATGCACCATGATAGGTGGAGGGCGTTGATAAGCGCGTTTGACATATTGCTCAGTCAGTCTGTGATGAGGACACAACAAGGATACGAGGTGAACATCGTGTATGCGTGCTCGACGAAGATAATCAAGCAGCTGCACGCAAAAGCTTACGGGTCTCTCAACAGTGCCAGAACACAACGGCCTGAAGGATATGGCATGGATCGAAGAAGTGATGCTTGAACTTGCAAAGCATATTTACTTTGAGTTATAGATGGTGAGTGTCGACGAGCACATCATCACCGACTTTGATCATCCATTTGCGATTAGTTAGCTCATGCACTCATGCGAGTTTGGGAGGTGGATATGCTATCACACGGTCAAGATTGTCATAGGTGGATATGCGAGTTTGGGAGGTCGATTGGCTTTAGCGAGGAAAGTTGCGACACATAGGTGTCCATAAGCACCGTGAAATGCGTCGTAAGCAGATAATGACGCCAATGTCGAGTGGCATAAACCACTACGAGAACCTGACGTTCATCAATTGTGTAGTTTATCTTGGCAGCAATTGATGGGAATAATAGGAGTAGGACACTCCCCAACACGAGCCTCAACAGTCTCATCATTTGCGATGGTCGGATAATAGGTGACATGTGGACGTCTGTAGAGGGGAGTGGTGTAAGGGTAGATTTCAGTCGAGAAGCAGAATCAGCCGGGGGGAAGGAGAATTAGGGGTACGGGGATGAGAAAAGTCGGGCATGGAAGGGAACAGTTGGGAAACTATTGCAAAATGTGACGTGTTGCAAAATGTGATGCATCGGTGGTGACAATAATGATGATCAAAATTGGGGAGATGAAGAATGGGCACACAATTCACATCCTTCTTGATTGTGTGAAAGACATCCTCGTGGAGGGGTGTCGAGTCATATGGTGCATTCTTCTAGAGGAGGGTAGAGGTAAGGGCATGGGAATACCTAGCGTATCCCTGGGTGAACTTGTTATAGTAACAAGTGGACCAAGGGGGGGGGGAGAGGGCAAGGACAAGGTGGTGGAGGAGGGGGAGAGGAAGCAGGAGGCGGGCGAAAGAGTGTGAACGTGACTGGCCGGGCCTTCCGCCCTCTCAGGGTTCCCGCCCCTCTCTACCCCCTCTACTTCCTCCTGCGCGCATTGCCGCAACTCGCCACCCCCCGAAG